GGATATCTTTCATAATATAGCTGCTGAGTGGGGAGAGGGGATGGAGACTGGATCGGGGCGGAGGGAAGATAATTGGGGCGGCTATAGAGAAGAGGGTGGGCGAGGGACAGAGAGGCTAGGGGAAGGACGCGTATGGCATAAAGTTGTTGTTTTGTACCCTAAGTGTAGGCCTCTCCTAATTTATGAAACAGAGGTCTACGAAAAAGTTATAAGGGAATCTATGCTGGATATCTCTAAGATTTTAAAGCATATCATCCCAAAAATAATTGTCTTGTGAGATATTGGATGGGCGCTATAGACACTAACAGTATAGCCAGCACTTGATTGGTTGGCTATACGCAGCGGGTACTTATACATGCTAAGACTTCCTCCTACGTTTTTAATAAGTCTACTAACTGTGAATGTTATATCATGATAACATGCTATTTAGCGATAACTGCCTTCATTTCAAAATCATAATGCTTTGCAAAACTACCGAATTTTCTCGGGAGATATTTGCGGCATGGCGGTGCAGCGTGCTAGGCGTTGCATGGCCGTCTGAGCAAACTTCATAATATAGCTTCGCTTGAGGGGGAGAGGGGATGGGAGAACTGGAAAACCGCGGAACAGGGAAGATAACTTGGCGGTATAAGAAAAGGAGGTCTGAGCGAGGAGGACTAGAGGAGGCATAGGGGCAGACGCGCGATGGCATAAAGATTGTGTTTTGTACCCTACATTGCATAGGGCGCTCTCCTTAATTATTAAACCAAGGGTCTAATATAAAAGTTTATTAGGGAAAGTATATGCGGAGCATATCCTCTAACCATCTTTAAAATTGCAATCCATCATACACTATTCTATTTTTACAATCCTATATAGGTGGCCTTAGTCCCCCGTCATACAAATACTATATATGTGGCCTTGGGCCCCATCATACACTATTCTATTTTTACAATCCTATATAGGTGGCCTTAGTCCCCCGTCATACAAATACTATATATGTGGCCTTGGGCCCCATCATACACTATTCTATTTTTACAATCCTATATAGGTGGCCTTAGTCCCCCGTCATACAAATACTATATATGTGGCCTTGGGCCCCATCATACACTATTCTATTTTTACAATCCTATATAGGTGGCCTTAGACCCCCGTCATACAAATACTATATATGTGGCCTTGGGCCCCATCATACACTATTCAATTTTTACAATTCTATATAGGTGGCCTTGGGCCCCCATCATACACTATTATTACAATTTTATATAGGTGGCCTTAGGCCCCCTCATACAAATATAACGCCGGCAGCACTATAACGTGCTGCTAATAACTTACCGAGTGCTGCACTGGCGCTTGTCTTGTTTTTCCTATTTAATGCTATATCTATGCCTATGGGTAATACAATTGCATATACCATGGTAACTTGTTTTAGCATTACTAAAATACGTAAACAAAAAGAACCATTTTCGATCGCGGAAGGGTTATTGTCGGAGTGAGCTGACGGGGGGTGGAGGCCACCGGCGGGGACGAGGTGGCCTAACGCCACACTTGGATGTGGATATCTGTCGCCTGCCCTCTGGGGAGATGTTGCGCATGCGCTAACACACTATCGTAGCCAGATTGTGTACTGGCTGGTATACGCAGCGGGGACCTTACATGCAAGGTCTTCCTCCGATTTCTTAAGTGATGTTTACTGATGGAATGTTATCATATAAATTCATGCTAGGATAACTCCTCTTCATTTTAAATGCATAATCTTTACAAAATATTATTCTTTTCGGGAGATATTGCGCATGAGCGCGCTCTGTTTCAGGCGTGCAGTACCGTCTGAAGAAAACTTCATAATATAGCTTGCTGAGGGAGAGAGGGGTGGGGGACTGAGGAAAGGCGGCAGCGAAGATATCTGGGGCGGTAGAAGAAGGAGGCTGAGCGAGGGACAGTGGAGGCAAGGGGAAGGACGAGAGGGCATAAAGTATGTGTTTTGCACCCTACAGGCTAGGGCGCTCTCCTAATTATAAACACGGGTCTACTGATAAAAAATTATTAGAGAAATCTATGCTGAGATATATGATCAGATATGATATACGTGCTCTGACAATACTTATAAGGCGCGACACTAGCGCCGACCAACGACATTGAAAAGTGTAAATGATCTGATTTGGCGTTGCGGGCAATCAGTATGTCGAGATAATTGAACTCCCTCTTATTGTATAAAGGAGGCAATAGCCTTTACGTTTTCCACATAATTCTGTTCCTGAACCTGTACACTCCATGACCCATAATTCCATCAGAATACTTCAGATTTACTTTAGCAGATAGTAGGCATGCGCCGAAACAGGAAGTCCTTGTGTTCTATCCCACGTTTTAAGGAAGGTTGAAAGATTTACCGGCGTAGAATTAACGAGGCGTTTCATTGCGATCAGCATTTTGTATATTTAACTACTCCTGAATATGTGCTTACTATATTGCTGTATAGTTTCAACAAACCTATGTATAAAGGGTCGTAGCTGGCGGGGCAGGGCAGTTAAGCCCAGGCTTTGGCAGCGGCTATGACGAATTGGCCACGGCCATCAATCCAGCACGCAAAGCACGCGTGACTTTGCCCCTCTAGGAAATATGAGTGAGCTACGGCACTAGTTACTCTACTGCGACTATTAGATAAAATGTTACTTTTTTTAAGAATGTATTTCAGACATATGTCATTTAATTTGTCAGATATGGGGCATATATACGCGAACACAGACGCATGCGGTACATAAAGATTTGGTATGACTTAGAACTTTATGATTATGAAAGCGCGAAATTCGGATATAGCCCTTTCATGTCGATCTTTAAGTGGATATTTTATATAGTTTAACATTGCGCCAACATATTATTTAAGTTCGTAAATGCTGGGTATGTTCCTGACTATGTCGTATAGAGCATATAGTGGCATTTATTTACCGATTTAGAATAGATTCACGAAATATTACGCGCCCACCCTTTGTATTTGCTTGTCCTACCGTACTGCACGTGCGTACGCACGCAACAAAATAATACGCGCTTGAAAGCATTACTAAAACGCAAGCACACGAAAATTACTTTCGATTGGGACTCCCAATGTTTAATCGATATCAACAGGACATACAGGATTAAATATGTTTACGGACTCTATATAAATTACGAGGTAAAAACCTTAAACTCTAAAATTACGGTATATAAATGCAAAGCAGCAACACTTACTCATCAAACTGCATTACACGGACTTCCCTCGCGCATGAATTTACAGTAGCATTCCTTTATATTGTCCTTACAAAATAACGAGTAATGAATGCGCATTGGGCGCCCCTGCAATATATGCGCCTATTTTGGGTCTGTATGACTGAATATGGACGGGAAATAAATATGAAGACGAGCTTTTTTTATCCAGTCTATCACGATTCCCGCCTATACTCCTAATTTTTTATAAGACTCACTCACAATCTTTACGCGTAATTTCAATAGTTAAATTGATAACAAAACTAGCTACTATCATAAACACAAAAGGAATAACATTACACACACACACGCACGCGCACACCTACCTAAATGCGCACACTCTCTATATAGTTATATACACGTGATGATATATGATTTCTATATTATAGACGTAAAACGCTAAACAATTACATAGAAATAGAAATTCAGTATATTCTGGATGTTCTGAAATTCTGTGTATCAATTCTTCTTCAACGGAGTCAAACTAAATAGGCCAAAAATTCGACGCGGCATATACTGCTAGTATGGAGGATTGTCAAAGAGGTGCAGCGGGCAAGACTAACAAGAACTAACAAGTGTTAGAGTTGACTAGTGTACGAACTACGAAGTCACGGTCAATTAAAACAGCTGTGGTACGCCAGCTGTTTCGATTGTATCTTGTTAAACCCGTTCACACTCGCTATAGGACAACGACAGCAGAGGGTACAGGTTCACAAACGTTATTTACCAGCCAGCCATCTTTCTTCGCATCTTATTCTTTATGGACGTGCGTGCTTGTGTGCCTGCGTGCGTGCGTGGACGTGTATGCACAGGCGCGATGTATGGGTGTGCGTGAGACTGCGTGGGAGAGTGCGTATGTATGCGAGTGCGTTCGCGCATGCGTGTGTGCGGGTATGTGCACATGCGTGATTGCGCGTGTGATTGTGTGTATTTGAGTAAGTGTGTACGTACGTGCGCGATCGTGTACGCGCGTGTGGATGAGCATGGTACAGCTGCTATTAGCACCCATCGATCTGTCTTCCGCCTCCTCTTCCCCCTCTTCCCCCTCCTCCTCCTCCTCCTCCTCCTCCTCCTCTTCCTTCTCCTCATTCTTCTCGCGCTCCTCTTCCTCTTCAGTTTCGTGTGTTTTCATCCCTCGCCGGACCCTTGCTGTCCGACTGTACATCCCTCGCCGGACCCTTGCTGTCCGACTGTACATGAATAATCTGGTTAGACGGATAGTTGCAATACTCGCAGTATCCCGGCGGGCCCTGTGTGCCCGGAGCTCCCCGCAGGCCCGGAATTCCCGTTTTCCCTGCCGGGCCCCGTTTGCCTGTTCGTCCCGGTATCCCGACTCCCGTCGTCCCTTGAGGCCCCGGCGGACCGCGCAAGCCCATCGGTCCTTCAATGCCGACGCCTTCTGACCCTCGCTCGCCATGTGACCCCCGTTCACCTGGCGGAGAACAGGTGAACTAACGTGAGCATGGAAATGTATAGATAGTTGTAAATGTGTAAATCAAACTTCATCCAACAAAAAATTACGAAACGACATTCATCCTTAGACAATTGACTGACACCGCACGTCGTTACATACCTCTAGCTCTTTTTGTATCAGGATAATATGCTATTACTACTATAATTATATTATAATAACATCACGGTTGTAAATTCGTCGATGGTGTGTGTCGCATGAACTCGCCAGTATACCTTTTATTCCAGTCGGACCAGCTTCCCCGATCATGCCTGGCGGCCCTAGGTATCCTCGGTCTCCCTGCATACCCTGCGGACCCGGGTCACCTACACACAACGACATAGAGAACACGAAATCATTATGATGATATATCCATGAATATATATGATGATATATAAATATCATACATACTCATACGCACGCACGCACGCCCCACGCACGCACGCACACACGCACGCACGCACGCACGCACGCGCGCACACACACACACGCACACACATAGGTATTACATGCATCTATACCATACATGCGCGTGTATAGAGCAGGGTCACTCACGCACCTGGTATGCCCTGCTGTCCCGGTGGGCCCGGGTGTCCCGGTCTTCCCTGCCCCGGATGTCCGGGCGGTCCCCTCAGCTCTTCCCGGATGGCTCCCAGCCTCTCCATGAGTATCTGCTCACACATGGCGCGTATGTCGTCCAGACTGGGACCATTCCCCTGCGGAGGTGGCGAAGAAAGGTAAATTCAAATTGGTGATGATAGAGGGAGCGAGAGGAGAGTAAAATAAGAGCGAGAGAGAGAGAGAGAGAGAGAGAGAGAGAGAGCCGCGCTGAGCGCGAGAGAGCGATAGTGTGTGTGTGGGTGTGGTGTGTGTGTGTGTGTGTGTGTGTGTGTGTGTGTGTGTGTGTGTTGTGTGTGCGTGTGTGTGTGTGTTATGTGTGTGTGCGCGGCGCGCGTGCGTGTGTGTGTGTGGTGGTGTGTGTGTGTGTGTGGTGTGTGTGTGCCGTTGTGCGTGTGTGCGTGTGTGTGTGTGTGTGTGTGTGAGAGTGAGAAGAGAGAGAGAGAGAGAGAGAGAAGAAGGAGAGAGAGCGGGAGGGAGAGAGATAGAGAGAGAGTGAGAGAGAGAGAGAGAGAGAGATAGAGAGAGAGAGAGAAAAGAAAAAAAGAGAGCGCGCGCGAAATAGAAAGATAGTGTGACAGCAAGGGTACACCCGTGATTAATAAAAAGCCATCCAGCTTACTTTTCCACCAGGTAGTCCAGGAAGCCCGCCCGGTCCTCGCTTGCCTTCTGGCCCGCTGGCCCCTGCTGATCCGGGCATTCCTGGCATTCCCTGGGGACCAAGCTGCCCCATCGGGCCTCTCAGACCTGGCTCCCCTCTGGCGCCTGGCTGAAGTTATGTAAGAAAATTAACGAAGAGATAGCATGATGATGACTTAGTGTAGAACGCGGCATCGGCGTTCCTCTCGTAGTTTTAGTGACAAAATTGCGGCTTAACTGTGAAATGAATACAAATTGATTTTAAGGTATATATATAAGTAGCAGTAATTATATAGTCAAATATAATAATATAAATTTAAGAATGATATCCAAGTTAAGTCCAATAAATAAGACAAAAAATTATATACAATTATTATGATTTGTATCAAAATTAAATAATAGTATAGCAATAATAAGTAAAGTATATAAAATGTGGTAAATATGCAACCGCTGCTTACCATGCCTCGGGGTCCCGGGTAGCCTCTGTCACCCTGTAAGCACACCAGTATAGCAGTAATAGTAGCAGCTTCAGCACACGCACACAGAATACTCGAGTATTACACAATGTGAGCGTCCGACCGCCGCAACAATCGAACTGAATCGATTACATTTCGATAGCAGAAAAATCACGCCGTTACGCGCGACCGAACTCTGATCCCACTGCGGGGATGAAAATATAAAGAACTATATAGAGCACTCGGAGAGCGCAGACCTCCGCCAAGACAGCTGAATTCTCTCACTGTGAAAAATTGTATTAATTAATTAATTAATTAAATAATTAATTGGATCCGGATCACCACCAAAATGTAATCAATTATAAGTTACCCCATTTCTGACCTATCCTGAAAATTTTAGTAATCAATTAATTAATTAATTGGATCCGGATCACCACCAAAATCTCATCAATTCTAAGCTAGCCCATTTCTGACCTATCCTGAAAATTTTAATTAGTAATCAATTAATTAATTAATTGGATCCGGATCACCACCAAAATCTCATCAATTCTAAGCTAGCCCATTTCTGACCTATCCTGAAAATTTTATGACAATCCGTCCATAACTTTTTCAGTTAAGCTGTACACAAACCGTATTGCGTCATTGCTGCGACCTGGAGGTTAGGTTCAGTCCACTTACCTGTCTACTTGCACTAGACGTATTTGCAGTGTGTAAGGCTATGCAGACTTTAATAGTACATACATGTAAGTTGTAACGTATACTGGTAATATATACTTGACGAGTATAATTGTAGTGTAAATCTGACTACTATATGCGTATAGTGTATATTTGTAGTCTATATTGGCAGTCTACATTTTGTTGTATAGACCTTCTAGTATACATACTAGTGTGCAAGAGTAGATAATAACACATGTGTTATTATCTACTCTTGATAGTGTGGCTATATGTCGGGAGTAGCGCGAGTTGATCGCTACGTGTTGCTACGACTTACCGACGGTCCCTGGATGCCTCGGAACGCGTTGTTGCCATTCGATTCGATATAGACTGCTGCCTCGCCCTGCAAAATCGTGCGTAATCATCGTGAAACTGAAAATTTCGAGCGAAATTGCCGCGCCGTCTCCGGTTATGAGATTCTATCGGCGATTCATATGATTATCGATCGCTAGATGGCGGGCGATGCAACACGTTCGGTACGTATCTCAGGAGACGAGATGTGCGTTAGGTTAAGTATTTAATGATGACGACGACGACGACGACGACGATGATGATAATAACAATAATCAAAATAATAATAGTAATAATAATATAAGATAATCATACCTTTTCACCCTTTAGGCCCGATGCACCATCCTGTCCTTGGTCACCCTGGAAGCCCCTGAGGCCTGGCAAACCCGGTATGCCAGCGACCCCTTGCTGTCCCACGGGGCCCTGCCGCGAGACAACGATACATACAGCCAATACAATACATGCAACGATACAAATTAAATAATTATCATTCCTATCCCTTTATTAATTCAATTTACTGCCATTTAGTGCATATCAAAATTTACCAACTTCTGATGTAGGTATATATAATACATATACATATATATATATATATAAATGTTCGTAGGAGGTAAGGCACGGCGGGCAAAGACCCAGGGCGCGGGGTTTTAGTTAAACGAGGTTTGAATGATTCAACATAGTGCTTATATTAGCGGTTAGATATTTACTATATGAAAGAGAGTGAGAAAGCGCGAGAAAGAGAGAGAGCAAGAGAGAGAGAGAGAAAGTGAGAGAGAGAGAGAGAA